GTCAATCTCCAGTCGCCCGCTCGCTATTTAAAAAAACATAACTCCACCCCGAATTAATATGAAGGGATGAAACCGAAGGCAATCGCTGGGGAATTTAATTATTAGAAATACATCAATCAGCTGTCATTGTAATGCTCATATCTATTATACTATACTTTCAAATGAGAATAGCATGTAGCTGCTACAATGAAGAGTAAAAAAACAGAGTGATACCACCCAAAGAAGGGTATGTGGTAAGACTGATGGATGTTTCACTAAGGAAAATCCAATAGGCAGAATAGATAATTTGGGGTAACAAATTGAATTTGATTTGATGTGACCATATGCTCATAGACCGAATCGAAATTTTCAAAATAATGGCAAACACTGGTATTTTTGGAATGTGACACAACGTCAAAAATAGGAAAACTCTGCTATGAAATGTTGAGTACAACATTGAATTAGAATTACCATGCATCATTTTGAAGAATAGAGAATACCATTTGAAATAACACATAGATAGTTTTACTCAATTGACCAACAATAATGAAGAAATTCAATGTAATCCAAAGTGTCAGTAAACATCATGAAATTCAATTGTTGAATACGATGTCTTCTAAGTGGACAAAAATTGAACACAATTGAATAATTGGTGGGTCAATTTAAAGATAATTTGATATGCTTTCATCGATGTCATTAATAGGGAAAGCAGGGAAATTTTGAACACGTGACATTCTATAATCGTTCTATTGTGGCTCAGAACGATTGATCTACTACACGGAAACACTAACGTGAAATATCAATTTATAGATCTCATTAAGAATTACAAATTGATGTGTAATATGTCGCCATTAGTCGAGTCCAAAACATAGGTAAATAACAAAAAGGGCCACTTTTGAAATGTGACATAACGTGAAAAATAGGAATAAGCTTTAATAACTTGATGTTTTTATACCATTTTGAATATTCGAAAATCATTTCTTCAAAATGATATACATATACATATACTCCCATTCGCTTCGCTTTGAAGTCCCTAAAATCCCATCGCAAGTTTAAGTGAAGTATTTTTCTGAGTATTTGTTTTCTAAGTAAAAATCTCAAAAATCACAATTTTTACTCAACGTCCCATAACTCTTTGGAAAATGGTCGAAATGCCAAAGCTTTTAAATGAAGAAGAAAAATATATTCGCAGTAGAAACGAAAAGAGTCGACTTGTTCATTAAAATGGAGAAAACTTGAAATTTTGAAAACGTGACACACGAAATTCGACACATAAAGACGTGTAACTGTCCATCAACTCAATGGCATGAAAAATTTAATACGTCATTTTGAAGATCTCACCGAGATCTTCAGACTGATCTACAACATGTCCGCATTAGTCAAGTCCTGTGCAAGGATAGATGCACAAACATGTGAATTTTACGGTGTGACATTGTGTTCAAAATTGAAACAATTTAGAATAACTTCTGAAATAAACAAGTGAATTGAAGTTATCATATATACCATTTTGAAGAGTATAAAATAACCATCAAAATAATATATAAATATGTTCATTTATCTCAATGAAGAGCATTGCAAAATTCAACCAAATTTGCATTTTGAGAGAAACATGAAAATCCCATTTTATTAATTAAAGTCCCATAACTCAATCAAAAATGATGAGTAATGTATAAATCAGGTTTCATTTTGTAGCTAAATTAATATTCTTTTGAATAAGTATCAAATATATACGCCTCGTGGCTCAGGAGAGAGCAAAATGTCTCCAATACTAAAGACAAGGACTCGGTTATGGACACGGATCTTTTACTTGTGGAAAAAAACTTGGAAGATCGCTATTCATATATATCGCTCTTTAGCGCCTTTCTAAATTTGTTCCTCCTTTTTTTCATAATTTTTTCATGTGAACTCCAATCATTTTCGTGACCTCAAAACTTATCCTAAATTTTTATGTATTTTCGGCTAAAAAGATAAAATTAAAACAAAAGGTGACGTTCGACAGATAGTCCACCCGGCCCTTAATGGTTTTCAAACACGGTACTCTGCAGACCGTATCAACGAACCCAGCGTCACCAAAAAAAGGGTGTCCCTTCATTCACGCGGACTTTTATCGCCCTCGTGACCCAGCTCAAGACAACTCTCACCCACCAATCGTATCACAGAAAATTTAGTTTCAAGGAATCAAAATACCTCAAATCCTCATCTCAGAAATCCTCATTTTTGAAAAAACACGCCCAATTGTTACTCTCTTGAAAAAGTCTAAACAATTCTTGCTTCAGTTAATTTTCGGGATCCTTGAGAGCAACGTTTCCAAAATTTCTGCGGCAATTTAGTGTGTGACATTCGACAGGGTTTAAGTTAAAGTCTTAAAGTCAATTTACAGTTTGCGTTTCGTAAAAGTCATCCTAAATTACGTAAAAATAAGCAGAATTCCTCAATTTAATTATCAAATGGAAAATATATAACAACACAGAAAATACCAAAATCGATACTAAATTTATAAATTAAAATCGTAAATTAATTCGAGTGAGTTTAATTATTAGGTTGAAAGTATCGATCTTGCAAAGGGTATATTATTTTTTGTGAAACCATGAAAAAATCTTGTCTTTCGCTGTTGTATTATCGATAAACTTTCGTGACTTGAAATGTTGTATATAATCTCAGAGGGAAGCGAGAGCTAATGGCCTTGAGAACAGAAGGAATCCTGATAATCCTCATCCAGGGATAATAGTCTGTCAGAGGAACATGAAGGAATCGATGCCAGTCTATCCAAGAAGAATCGAGGGTGATCAGTTTTATGGGATGCAACCTGCTGTTGGATATTTCGAAGATATTAAATTTCGAATACAATAAACATTAGGGAAGTTACTCAAGACGATATTAGTTGCTAGTAATAATGAATGTTCAGAAGTTAATTTTGCGGCATTGGCCTTCAGTGTCACCTATTCATGAAATTTATTTTGTCGATGATAACCGCACAAAACTGTCTTAAATCCTCCCACTTTTTGTTATTCCCTTGCTGCTTTTAGTAATTAAGTATTCCATGAAATTACATTGAAAAATCACATCT